TAGGTCATTATGCGCCCATCTTGCCGCTGCGAATACCTTCACGATAGATCATTTGCTTGACCCTGCCCATTCAGCTGTGATCGAGAAGGCGCAATTCTTCTACATTGCTGTAAGTTTTTGCCTTACAACTAGATTATAATATAACTTAGTTGGCAAAAAATCAAAGCTGTTAATAGGTTGGAAACCATAGTCCTGGACAACTGTTGTTATCAAGTTTTCTCTGCATTTAATCCAGCGCTACCATTACATCATGTTAGCACTTTCGTAGACCTCTTTTTTGGCATAAACTTTCAGTTTAAAATTACAATATGAACTCTGATGTACTTACTTAATTTCATAATTTAATTTTTTAATGCAATTTTTTTCATTTTAGGGGTTTTTCTTGACTGTTTCACCTCCATCAATCATGCATATCGCCGAGCATTCATACAAACACAATAAGGTATTTAGATGAACTGTTTTCCTTTCTTGACTGCTCAAGGATAACTTGAAAGGATATAAAAATGTTAGTAAAATTTTCTTCATGTACATGTTCCAGATCTTCATGTTCAATCTAGCTGCGCCTTTTATCTCACAGTTCTTCTTCGGAGCTTTGAAAGAGGTCCTCCCCTATGTTGACATTATATTTGGAAATGAAGACGAGGCAGCAGCTTTTGCCAAGGTAACAGATGGTTTTCGCATTTTATCAGTTACAAACTAAAAAGTTCAAGTCCACAAAGTACATTTAAGGCTGCAGAGTTAGGCACCACCAAAAATGAAGAGATTGCTTTGAGAATTGCGCAATGGGAAAAAGTGAGTCCCAGCTAAGCTCAGAATTTATTGATATTTTGTATCGTTGAAAAATATGTCTCTATGTGAGTCAGAATAATGCATATTATATTATAGAAGTCATCCAAGCCGCGAATCGTAGTTATCACTCAGGGAGCTGACCAGGTCATAGTTGCAGTTGGAGACAAAATTGAACATTATCCTGTGCCAAAAATTCCAAAAGAAAAGATCGTTGACACAAACGGAGCTGGAGATGCTTTTGTGGGAGGTGAGGAAATCAATAAGCGAAAACTTCCGTGGTTCAGTCCTCCATGTCTAGAGTTCTTCAAACCTTCTCAGATTTATGCGATAAGCTAATCGTCGTGAATGACGGCGACAACAGTGTTTGTGCTATGCGCCGCAGCGTATGAGAAGCTTCAAAGGCATTGTTTAAAATTTGAGAATTTGAAATTCTTATTGTTTCATAGTAGTCACAATTCTATCTGATCTGATCCCTGCTTCAACTGAACTTTTGCAACATGAGAAAGAAAATTCCTTTTTTATTTTAGGCCGTCACATCCAATTAGCAATTTTCCCTCAGCCTGGCCGCGTCGCCAGCAGCGCTCTGCGAGAAATCAGGCAATTATTCTGGGGCAAGCTGAAATTGCGTTCCGTCGATCAAAAGACCCCAAATCGCTACTTTTTTTATAATTTCACATG